GGCCTGGGAACATCGTATAGGATGGGCAGATCTAATCGGGAGGAGGTGTTCTGCCAAGTATTGAGGTCCCAAACTGTTTAGGCCCTTGTAGGTTAGCACCATCACCTTGAAATTCGTAGTAAAAATGTCCATGTCATGTTGTTAGCTCAGTGGTTTAGGTCTCTGGCTGTGGAGCCATTGGTTGGGAGTTTGATTTCCCACTGCACCTCCTGTGAGTAGAACCAGCTTGTATGGCCTGTAGGGCAATCTGCAGAGTCCCAGGGCGCCCCCAGAAGAAAGGAATGGTAAACCACTTCTGAGTAGTCTCTATCTGGAAAAGACTGGAAAGGCTCCCCCTAAGTCAAGAACTGACTATATGGCATGTGAGGATCATGTTGGCTTCTTAACAAATATAAGTTTTTGTTTCTTTTGAAAACAAATGGAAAAAAGATAATCGAAAAAGGGTTGAGTAATATAATGTGTTAAATATATTCCTGATGTTAATGATAATGAATTGCATTGGGAAGTTTTTGTAACCCTAATGCACTGGCTGAAATCCTGTTCATGGAGCCAGCTGTGCAAAGCAGATGATGTCATCAACTACAGCAGATTTTCAGAAATAAAAAGAAAAAAAATTGATCCTACCTCCCCAAATTCCCAAAATGTTCTTTTTAACATGGGAAAACCTTTAGTTTCTAAAATCTGCCACTACTAATAAAATCATCCCAGCAATGTTGGGTTTCGTAAATGAAACACTTCCCACCCACCCTCATCCTATAGCCCTCACGAGCTTCCTTCAATGAAAGTGCTTCTAAGGGAGTCTTCAAATATTCATATCCTCAGACTTACACCTCAAGTTGGAATTAAGATTGCTGGAAGAAAGATCAACAACCTCAGATATGCAGATGATACCACTCTGATGGCAGAAAGTGAGGAAGAATTAAAGAACCCTATAAGGACGGTGAAAGAGGAGAGCGCAAAAAATGGTCTGAAGCTCAACATCAAAAAAAACTAAGATCATGGCCACTGGTCCCATCACCTCCTGGCAAATAGAAAAGCAAGATATGGAGGCAGTGACAGATTTTACTTTTTTGGGCTCCATGATCACTGCAGATGTGACAGCAGCCCCAAAATTAAAAGATTCCTGCTTCTTGAGTGGAAAGCGATCACAAACCTAGATAGCATCTTAAAAAGCAGAGACATCACCTTGCCAACAAAGGTCCACATACTCAAAGCTATGGTTTTTCCAGTAGTGATGTACGG